TATGTTACGGCTAAAGATAGGTGTGAACATAAACTTAAGATTAGCCGGCTAAACTTAAGTTTATCTTCGACGAGGTGTTAATGTTAGTTTCTTCTATCTTTAGCCGGCTAAACTTAAGTGTAACCGCAGGCCCTTGGCTAAAAATGTAGAAGGAAATCGAAAAGGAAACAATGTAATAATGTTTACTATTTTGACACGAAAACTTTATTAAAAAATAATCACTTTCATTACACATACTTTTATGTACCTATGTAGGTATTCAAAATTACAATTATTACAATAACAAAATATTAATTACTCAAAACAAAATCTACCTAATAATTAAAATAAAATAATAAGGAACCATTTGGTCGTTACAGAATCTTCTGTAGGTATTTAAAATTACAAAATGCGCGTTGTCTCCCCACCGCCCCCTCAAGCCCTCCGCTGGCCTGGCGCGCCCATCGAATACATTTTTAGCCGTTTCGTTTTGGCTAATGTGCACATTAGCCGGCTAAAGATGGAATATCACGACGCAAACTAACATGTTATCGAACTTTAGCCGCTTCTCGAAGATAAACTTAAGTTTAGCCGGCTAATCTTAAGTTTATGTTCACACCTATCTTTAGCCGTAACATATATAACTTTTGTGCGACCGTTAGATTCGGAAGAGATTCTGTAAAATCCCATTCCACAATAAATTTCAAAAAGTCCAGTGTCACCCAATTAGAGACAGTAATATTAGCCGCTTTTAAATGTCTTCTCAATCTTGGTATTTCTAAAAGGAATTCTGTTTCTGATACTTCATCGTAAAGGTTAGTAAATTTTGATATAGCAAATTTTAACTGTTCAGTGTTTGCCGAAAGCAAGGTCTTTGACTGCACAACCTCAAACAATGAAGCTACGTCTTTAATGGACTTAACTCTTGTTTCGAGTTCAATATTGAATCTGTCAATACATTCTAACATGTCCTTTTGAAGTTCCGCTCTAAGTGTAAGTCCAGCATCGGTGGACGATGCTAACTCACCGGGCATGCGTTTCTTGCGACGAATTCGTCGTTCCATCGAAATGTTGTATTTTTCAGATTTTTGTACAGCGAAATCTATTGCCTCTTCTGCTAGATGCAACCGTTTCTCTCCAATGAATAGACGAAGTGCTTCTAGTTTTATGATTATTTCATCAACACATAAACCTTTACATTGTAATGCAATCTGAGCATTGTTCACTTCCCTTAGCACATCATTCCAAAAGAGAAGAAAACAAATAAATGAGAAATTGCACACAGCAGGCATAAGATTTTGTGCAGCACCTCTAGTTTCTAAATTTACGTCTTGGTCACATAGTTCCTCAATTGCAGATATTATCCCATTAAAATTTTCAGCCAATACTTTTACTGCACCATAATTAATTCAAATTCAAATTTATTTATTTGCCAGAAACAGGTAACATAATGATGGTCAAATATACATAAAATAAAGTCCATGTTTCGCTAAATACATCTTAGCATGCAGTAAAGAAAACAAGATTACAATACACATACACAACATAATGAGCACTCCAGCGCGTTGTCGAAAGTCTTTTAACAGATGCTTTGCTGTGATTGAGAAGCACTTCCCAACGGCTTGTGGAAGTTGAAAAAAAGTTAAACATTATTTCCACTGTTCCGAAAAATGTAACACAAGTCACATTTTGTGCGAACGAATGTTGGCCGCATAAATTTATTGAATGATCTATACAACCAATAACCAGGGGACACGGCTTCGTTCATTTGGTCCTCGGCATCATTATCATATTGTTCTTCACATTCCATTGTAGGTAGGTAAGTTGGTTTCCTACGTTGTGTAACGTTTGGCACCATTTGGGCTGTTTGAACCTGAACTGTCGCTTGACCGCTTGCTCTGAAGAGGCCCTGACGGTGAACCGGCGTGTCTGCATTGTTTTTCTTAGGTTTCTTACTCACGCATTCTTGGCATTCCCAAGAGTTCACAGATCCCGCTGAGTAGAATGAGTAGAACCGCATGCTTCTCACATTAGCACAATCCAGGTCGTAAGCCGCTATGCACATTGTGCACCTCATAAACTCTCTTTTGGGTACACAATGGAAGCATTTTACTGGAGCCGAGTTTGATTTTGAAGTTGAAGAAGACATTATGCTTATAATGCAATGCCTCTCATAATATTAAACTTTAACTGTGAACTAGTGAACAAATTTTACTGAAATTAAGTTTATTATAGAGCTTACATACAAGAACCCTATTCTTGAAGGGCCCGAATTGAAAGTCAACAACACTTGTGAATTAAGTTTACTTCCAAACTCTTGACGATAAAAATAATATAAAATTACGGAGCTGTTACCATCGTGCCGGGTGGCCAGAGAGCAGCGTGTTTAGAGCTACATTACCCTAGACAAATAATTTTAAATTTAGTCTAATATACATGCCGATAGGTGGCGCTCTAGGTAGGTTTGCTATAGACTCACCTCTTTGCTATAGTTGGAGGGGCAACACACCTGAACGTCCCGTAGGTCGGTTGGCCTTCCTATGCTGAACTACCATAAACTCTCCCGGACCATGATAAGGGAAAATGGCTTCGGCATGATACCGACCTCTAACCGACTCTACCTAGTCAGATTTCGGGAGCGGGGTGGAAGCTTTTTAAAAAGGATTATATTTAATTAAACTAAGTGATCACGTCCTCGCCGAGTTGGAGGCGATTTAATTATGAATTATAACTGTGGGCGATCGCAGTCGTCCAGTACTGTTTACAATTAAGTTCTGCTGACATATCGCTTATGTGAATAACAATTCCTAAGAATGATTACAATGTAGAGCCGTAAGTGATGAGTTATCTGTTTAGTCTAGAGCGGAGGGGCCTGACGAATGCATAACTCCTCCCTCCCTAAGCGAGAAATTATCGGAAGTTTCATTTGTATGATTATTCCGATAATTTCGTTTACATAAAATTTTAATTTGTTTGCGGAAGGCAATTAACATAAAAAGAATCAAAACTAATATAAATGTAAGGTATGTAAAATACGAAGTGTCTGTTTCACTTTCACTAGCACTGATTGCTGCACTGTGTTTCAGGGCGTACGACATGTATTTGATTTCATCCAGATTTATTCCATGCATATTAAATAATAAATAAAATAAATAATAAATAAATAAATTCTTTATTGAATAACTTATTACTATTATATAATTTATTACTATTTAATTAATTTTTAGTCTGCACTCTGTATTAATTTTAACTGTGGAAACTTTGCTGATTTCTGTCCTATTTTTTTGTGTGATTATTTGTCTGTATATCAAAATTGTTTGTTTCCCTAATATAAATAAATAAAAAAAANGAACAATATACATGAAATTATAGAAATATGCCGACGTAAAAGGGCAATGCCTAAAATCTCAAAATATATAAGAAAAATATAAAAATTGATAACAGCAGTAGCAAAAGCATTACATGTTAAGGCTAAATGTGAAATTTCATTAAATTCGTTTTAGTAGGTCAGAAGATATGACCCAAAAATATGGTTCTGGCCACTAAAATGGCTCTCCTGTAAAATTTACTTTTTTCACTTACGCCAGTATACGTAGGAGCCATCGAAGTGGATTTACCAACAGACTGTATGTGAAAGCTGGCTTCTAGGGCGGCATAGATTTTTCCGGCTAATTCACCAACTTTTTTGGGCAAAAGAGTGTAAATCCATACTGTTACATATTAGCCTAATAATTAGGTAGCTAATTGCTCATAAGATAGGCCCCCTTAATTGATATTTATTGTTCGTGATGCATATCTTTTCTTAAGGTTATTAAACCTTTGTTCGTCACCTGTTATCCGCTTTGCAATGGAGGGAAGTCGAACCTTATGTCGAACTCCTCCTATGTTTTTCTGATTAATTTCCTTGCTAGTCAAGTGACAGTTTACCTTTCCCCCGGGACCAACTTGACCTTCATTGGTTGGGTTTTTTTTGGGTTATTCTGTATTCGACCCATGACAACTCGACCCATTTCTTCACTCATCCCAAATTAGTATTCCTAGCTCAACCCATTACATAATTTTGTTATTCTACCCAAATGCATTCCTTACTCAACCCAAAGTAAATATACCAAAAATAAGTATGGATAGCAAAACAACGTTTACTGTTTTTTTTTTTAGTTTAGTAATGATCAATACATACAGTATGTACATTTATTTATAATTAAATAAAAAAAAATAAAAAACATCACCTACATGAAAAAAATATAGATAATATGAGTATGTTGATTAACTAAAATATATCAAAGATTTTATTTTATTTTAAGGTAGGTAAATACATAAACAAATTAAGAGGCTCAAAACTTATACCGCGGGATTAGTGTCCATATGAATACTTTTATTATTTTTCTTTTGTCATCTCATACCGCTTGAAAAAAAAAGATAAAATACATTGTATTATTTGAAATATTTGTACATTCATGAACAAGTGTCTGGGGAAAAAATTATACGCCATAGCTTGGTTATACTGATTTAATAAAAAATCACAGTCGTTTGATTTATAGTATATTTATAGTGGATTTATAGTAGATTCTAATAAGTCATTATTTGATTTGTGTCCTTTTGTGAAAAACATTTTTCAAATATATTATTGTATCAGCAGAACTCCTGCAGTTTTATTTAATAGAACGATCTTAACACAAAAGTTAACTGAGCTTAATAAAAATTCTAAAAAATATTCTGACCGTACATAAAAATCTTATATTTTTAAGTGCTTTTAAAATGGGTTGAGCTAGGAATGTTTTTGGGGTGAATAAGGAACATAAAATTAAAAATTTGTTGTGGGTTGAGTAAGGAACAAAATTGGGTTGAGCAAGGAAAAAATAATGAGTGGGTTGAGTTGTCATGGCGATCAAGATGTAGATCCTGGAGGAATTGCAGCGATGGGAACGAGAGGTGGTAGCCTAATAATATGTTTAAAAACTTCCAGTTTTTATTGTCACTGACGTGAAAAGACAGTGAGTACCCATAGTTCCCCCAGTTTGTTAGTCCCGATTGTGGCGTGCGTTCGCGTTGAGCTGCTGGAGTTTTACTTCTTCCAGCTTCTGGTGCTGCTTGCAGGAGGTAAGGTCCTTACTAAACCTCATCAGCTGTTCCACGCAGGTAGGCTCGTTATGTAGAGCCTGGTTGTCCGTAGAGCACAGGAAGCGATCGCCGGCGGCAAGCGGGCGACACGGTGTTACGATCGGTAAGTATTTCAAACCCTTTGCCAAAAGGTAAGGAAATTTGGGAAAAATGGAAAGCGTGACGTTTTGGGATTCTTGGAAAATGGAAAGTGAGTATATCTTATAATAATTGTAAGTATAATTATCTATCAATGGTATTTCTAAAATAAATGTTATCTGATCCTGTTTCATATAAGATTTTACACAAATAGTTTCTTCTAAATTTAACAAATTACTTTCCGTAGGCTGGTAAACTAAATTGGCAGAGTTTGAAATTAACTTTAAATGGTTTACAATTGCTTGGTGTAAAATGGATACTCTACTTAATGCTAATGCTGTTTCTATTTCACTTAATCTTATAAATATTGTACGGAAACTACTTATGAATATGTTATACACTCCTAGTATGTATGTAGAAAAAGTCCAATCGTTTTGTGTGGACGTTATGTTTTGCAATAGGCTTTCAACTCGTTTCAAGCGTTCATCAATAATAATAGAGTTGTTATTTATTTGCTCTAAAATATTTATGAAACTGTCGAACATTTTTGAGACCAGGGTAATTTTCTTAGATATTATATTTAGTTGAAGGGCCAGCGCCTGCGTCTCTATCATTAGCAGAAGGCACCACCTGCGGAGGGCGTTTTATGTTTTTAATAGGCACTTTAGTAGTCCTATCGCCTACTTTAATTGGTAAGATGTTTCGCTTGGCTTTGCCTAAAACCTTTGCTTTTACATAACGTGATTTGTCTTTGCTTTTACGTTTATTTACGTCTTTTGCAAATTATAATATTTATTATTATCTATAATTCTTAAAAAGTTTAATAATTACGTCTGTGAAAATTCGTCTAAGTTGATCTGATTCAAAATAAATGAAATATTTTGTTTTAGTTAGGTTTGATATATTTCTTTAAAAACTGCTTTACTAATTCTGCATTATTATCAGGTAAATGTACTTCAAGAACCTTTTGTTTGTCGCGTGAAAGGTTTTTGACTGAAAGTTCATTATCAAATCGTTCAAAGACTAATATTTGATTAGGTTTGTTATCTATTGCTTCGTTTAAGATTGGGATGCCTTGTGATTCGGTATCCTTTGCGGAATGAATAGTTTGTGAGTTATTAATTTGATTGTTCATCGACACAGTCTGAATTATTTGAAGACGGAATCGGACATTACTTCCTTCTGAGGATGTAGAGTCGGAAATTACTATTGTACTTCCTGACGATATTTTTTCTATTTTCTTTACTACTTTATCAACATGTTTTTGAATACGTTTTTCATTTTTACTAACATTTACTTTCATGGACTGATTATCTGAATCGAGAGCATTTACTTTTATGCGGGATAACGCGTCTGCGTTTGCGTTTTGTTTATTGATTGATTCATTACGATAATTAGCGATCGTACTAGGCATTCCAACGTTGTCTGTGAATTTCTTGTAATTTAAAATGATTGGAATACATGCAGTTTTAGTTCTGAGGACTCTATTTTTAATGTCGATTAATGCTTCCAATTGTTTTAATAAATCTTTTCCAATTACACCATCGTACCATTTGTGTACGTCATATAAATAAAATTTGTGATATTTTCTGCATTTAAAAGTTGGAAAAAGGGGAATTTCTATGGTTTTGTTGTGCGTACTTGACGAGTGTGTACTCACAACTTGGAATGGTTCGTTTTTTATGAATTTACTGAAATACTGATAGCCAATACGCGGACTGAAGAACGAACGCATGCTGCCAGTGTCGATCATCATGCGAGCATCCNAAATAACATATTTATTATTAAGAATTCTAATACCTGATGGTCTATATTCTAAATTTAAGTAAGGAGTTGAAAATAACGCGAGAGAAAGTTCAGAAATCTACACCCAGATTAATGTTATTAGGATGGTAAGTAAAATCAACGTAAACAAAGTGACATTACAAAACTATTTAGACACTTGTAACATAACTGGTTTAAAACCCGAATAAATAAGCATTTACTAATGAACCTATTAACTTTAATAGTCTTGTTGCCAAGTCTTTGTTTATAAGAGCTCGAAATTACAAAGTTTAACACGTTATTTAATTAATAAGTTAGTAAGTATTACTTTAATAGCCTTAGGTACTAATCAGTATTTGTTTTGGAACGCAATTTATCTAAGTTCATTAAGTAGATAGATTACGTACCGTAAACTGGTTGCAATTAATTATTTTGTTTGTCTTTAGTTTTTCTGTCTATAGGTAATCAGTAACACCACAAGCTGGAGCGACTGCATCGTAAAGGTAGCAGGAAGGCGCTGGACGCAGGCCGCTACCAACCGGGCAGCATGGAAAGCATTGGGGGAAGCCTATGTTCAGCAGTGGACGTCCCATGGCTGAGATTATGATGATGATAATAAACTGAAGCAATTTAACCCTTGTTAATTAAGTTAGAAAAACATTCTCGTAGATTTTAATCCATACCCCAATAAAATATCACCTAGGTTCTTGTTTTGAAAAGTATTTTACCGATTCAAAATTATTTTATGTGCATTCTGAAGTAGGTAAATTGTTTTTAAATCCTAGAAAAGAATAACTAAAATATTTCATTGAAATCGAGATGCAAAAGGGCGAAAATCATATGAGAATTGTCGATGACCGTAATCGGTTTGTCCCAGAAATGTGATTATGTCCCTAAAAAACTTAAATCAAATTGAACTCCTTATTTGATACATAAATCAAATTATACGAATTTTCCAGGAATTATAATATGTAATGTTTAACTACACACAGTACAAACCTTACCTTGTTAACTTGCTCTTAGTTTGGGGCTAAGCGTTCCTAGTAACAATTAGTTATATTAATAGCAATTAATTGTGACACTTGGAATAATTAATTAATGACTAATTTGCGAAATGAATGTATCAACAGGTAATACATATTTGTATCGATCATAAATCATAAATATCATTCGCTTTAAGTTTGCCGCTGGCGATATGACGTCACTCGAAGGGAATCATCTATAACTTTCTCAAACTATATTTAAAATATTTTTTATTTATTATTATTGATAAGTATTGTGTTTTTGCATAAAATAAGACACATTAATTGCGTTTAATCGCGGTTGGGGGAGGGGACGCGCATTCCACGGACCGGCAAACTTAGCGCGAATGGGTAGTACTTTAGATTAATTAAACTATGAAGAACTGGACATCCTTATAAAACTGGTAGGTACATAACGAAAAACAACTTTAACTAACGCCCGATTCCTATATTCAATCCTTGTCCAAATCCGGATTACAACTGTCAAATTGAATTCAGTTTTAGATATATTTCCAAAATGTTCGACGCATTTACACTTTAATATTGTTTAAATAGTCTTATAAACAATATAAAAATGTAAAAACATCAAAAACCGCAGATATTTTGGCCAAACACATTTTAAAATTTGACAGTTGACAATCCAAATCCGTCCAATTTGGATTAAGATTGAATATAGAAATCCAGCATAAGTCAGCACTTAAGCTAGCATGGGAGCGGCACGGGAGGGTGTTTTTGTGATGTCAAACGTCAGTGAGACTTCAAATGTGCTTCAGATTATACCCCTCCCGCTCTAATACCCCAGGCCAGTGGTTCCCAAAGTTGTCTGGGATACGACTCATCTAATACAAGTTCCCTAACTCGGGACCCACCTATATGAAATTTCACCCACTGCCCAGCGGTTGGTTGGATGGGTGGGGTGGTGTGTCGTTCTACAGGCAGGGCCAACTCAATGTTCGCTCACGACCCACTACTGGGCCGCGACCCATAGTTTGGGAAACCCTGCCCCAGGCATTTACTTAATTAAGCACTAGACCTATATAATAATAAATAAATAATTATCTTTAGACATTTTACACTGCGCTTCTAGTCCCAAACTAAGCAAAGCTTGTACTATGGGTACTAGACAACGGACATAAACATACTTAAATACTTTTTTTTTTGTAAATACATACTTATTATACATAGAAAATGTTTTAATATTGAAAACTCTCAGAAATTAACAACACATTTTTATTGTAAAAAAATCAAACATGAACAAACATGAATGACAGATGACATTGACATTCAGGTTCGAAACCATNGACTTAAATGCATCGAGTTTGGGCTCGTTCGTTTTGTATTGATGAGTATTTTAATTCTATATAGTAATCGGGGTCTAATGATGGAGCTGGAAGGTAATTCGCAATAAAACGACATAATCGCATCAAGTATGGGTTTGGTTCAATTTTAATTTCTGTGATGGGTCTGGGTGTTAATATGTATAATAAGTTTGTATTTACAAAAAAAAATATTTAAGTATGTTTATATCCGTTTTCTAGTGAGCGGACGCTGTGAATGTACGTCACACGGGGTCACGTGACCGTCGGCGGGACTCAATATTTAAGCGAACTTTGAATGCCTATAAAATCATAACTACTGGGTATTTTTGAATGAAATAAAAACTAACGTATTTGTAAATGTATAAGCTTAACTGTAACATAGGTTTCAAGTGATTTTGCATACCTAGTAACATTCTCAATTATAAAAATATAATTGTAAAAATGTAAAATAACCACGTGAATGTTTTATAATAACTTATTTTATTATAAGTATAGGTACTTTAAAACCAATTTAAAATTTAAGTATAAAATAAGGTTCCGGGGGTTAATTGTACCACGGGGTTGATTGTACCGCTACAATTGACCCCATGGAGACTGGTACATTTGTTCCAAGTAGGTAGTCAAGAGAACTTCACCTAAAATTCAGTTATTTTCACAGTGAATGCCAATAATTCGCTGTCGATACAAAGTTTAGAGCCTGGACAAACTATTGACAACAATACTTTGGTAACAAATAGCATATAAGCCAACTTATGGGCTCATATATTTGACATAAAAACTTACTGCGGCTGGGCAAAAAACAAAAATCCTTCCTGTATACCTTCGTTTTTCAGCGCAAGCGCCGCCGACTGGTGAGCGGATGGAAACACAAAAAGCGCATATTCTGACGCTATGCACACAATCTAACGTCGCTTGTATGAAGAAATATCGCCGATGGTACTATTGACCCGTGGTACTATTGTACCCGGTCTACCCTATGTCTTGACCCCGCTTAAAAGTCGAGGTCTATTGTTCATTTGCCGACGCACTTTAATCAAGACCCTCGGATGTTTTAATAAGATTTGTTTGTGGTTTTTACGCTCGAATTCACTAACATTACTATGAGGTCTCACAGTGACCGTGGACGCACAGGGTCACACACGAACCAATCGCAGAGCTCTATTCAACGCTGTACGTTTGATTTGCTGCTTCACTTAAGCAAGCATTACCGAATGTATGTCACCAAGTTATACCAACAGACGACGGGGTTTAAAGGTTAATCGGCTGTAAACGGCTCCATTGAATGTAAGCCCTTATTTCGAGAGTAACTTGTATATTGTTTGACCGTAACTAATCTTAGTAACCAACTAGTTACTTGGAGACAGTGGCGTAGCTACTAAGGGGCTAGGTGGGGCAGTGCCCCGGGGCCCTCAAGCTCAGGGGGCCCCTCGAATCCTTACCATAAAATCTCAATCGAACTGAGCTTTTGAAAATATCTCCCATTTATAATAGTGAGAAATTCGAAAATTATACCTAGAGAATTCCCCTAAATTCTTTCTGTGGGTTAGCAGTGTTGTCAATTTGACAACGGATAGCGATATGTGCGTTTTATCATCGATGTACATTTTATTGTAAAGAGAAGAGAAGAACGGTTAAAAAATTAATGCTATACCTATCTGGAGTAAGTTATTGTCATTAAACTTAATATAAATAAAACCTAACCAGTTTAGATTGCAGTGGGGCACCATTTTTTATTTGCCCCAGGGCCCTTGGTTGCCTAACTACGCCACTGCTTGGAGATAACAGTTCAAAGACTTCGCCCACTGCCCAGGTGATGGAGTTGAGAATTCAAAGGCAGTTATTAATAGAAATCGTCTGTTATGAACTATTAATTATTAGTTGATTTTGTGGATGATTAACTTTGTAATGAAAGTGGCGCTTTTGAAACAATTAGGTAATTAATCATTGAAGCGTACGAATGGACGTTTTCTATAAATATAAATTTGTGTATCTTTCCAAAGAACAACGTAAGTATTTCAATAACAACTAATTAGATTTTGTTCAAAATGCAATAAATTCAACAATACAGAAGAGTTAATTGCAAAAGAACCGTGTAATACTAATGACATTTGAATCAAGGAGTAAAACATAAGAAATCAAAATGTGGATCTTATCGTGATTTCCTACTGGCTCGATTTTAACACGTTCAACGCCACGTCCCTATTATTGTTATGTAATAGTGTTATTAAAACTGAAACATCCATATGGAACTGATGGAATTCTAAGCTAACAAAGCATTTTTCCGCCATAAAAATTGAAAATGGGATTCCGAATATGAGCCTTACATGATACAGCTTTGATTCAAATAGGAACCAAAATAGCCTACAAATCCTGGAGCAGATGGCACCGAATCGGTCCGCGTTGATTGAGACCGCGTGGACCCGGTATGTGTGATAGATTTCTATTTGCGAGTGTTGCACGCGATTCATGATCTAATAACCACGGCCCGATGGACGGCCGACACGATATCTAGTGCGCGATGCACAAAATTGACACTATTCTGTTAAGTTTCGCACGCTTCCTGATGATATTTATTGATGAAAGAATTTTTATGTAGTTAAAAGTAGGTATGTCTTGTTCCGGACTTCCGGCACTACTAAAATGTCTTCAGAAATTGAACTACTGATTCAGAAATGAGACAATCAAACATTGACCGTCTCACATAATTATGACCCTTTTTCAACATGTTAAGGTATTTTAGGTCAAAATCTTGGAAAAATATTATAAATAAATTCTATCTAATCTTATTTATTATGTCTCTCTATATCAATATTGCTTTAAGATATTCAAATTACTTAAACTAACCTGTGTAGGCAAGGCCTGTTGCCCAGACCACCGCTGGCTGAAAGATATGATCGGGGCTCCATAAGGCAGAGGTGGGAAGTCTCCAGGGAAGACCACCCGGTCACAGTTCATCAGGATCCTCAGCTGCAGGGTCCTATCCACCTGGACCCGACACCGGCAGGGGTACCGAAGGTCATCGTTCAGCTCTGAGCACGGAACCCACGGCTGCTGCCCAAGCACTGGCACCATGAAGAGCAGGAGAAACAGCCACATGGTGATCTGGAACAAGTATATTCTAGAATTAATACAAGGCGTTGAATGACTTGAATGGTAAATAATAAAAGGGGGGCAGAGATTTATTTTTTATTACAAAAACGACACTTGTTTGTTAAATAAAATGTTGAGATGATAATAAAAAACAAATTGAGGGAAATAAAAAATAATAACTACAATTTTGATTGGTAATGGTTAGTTACATTTCAAAGCGATTAAGTAAAAATATCAAAACATTTAGGTAACAGTAAAATGGAACCACGAACGAAATTCTACTATTACCGGTTGCTATACGAGCAAAATATAATATTCGTGAAATACCTATATTTTGTTTTTGGAATATTAAACCAACATTTCAAACCACAAACAAAAAGTATCATGTTCCTCTAACAACGATATCGCCTTCAAAACACGACCTTCGTGAAAGTTTTATTTAAAACATCAATGTAACAGTCTGGCCCTCATAAACTGGCTAACAATAATACTTCAAACAAAACTACCCTACAAAACAGATAGTGTAGACCGCGCATTACCATCGCAATGGTGTTGCTATAAACGAGACTTCAACAACCTTATAAAGGGTAAGACAAGTCCTTTGGCATCTCGAAAGGGATTTACACGAATAATCCAACCCCCTTAACCAGGGGTTTCAGAATTACTGAAGGAGAACAATCACAAACTAACATAAACACAACATAGTTAACTGCGACTGCTAATGTTTAAGATTGAAATTACTATTTCAACCAATTTATTGTTTTATGGATGCAGAACGAGGAAAGCCGATCCCAATTAATGGGAAATGGCTAAGAACAATTAGGTATCAAAGAATTTTTATGAACTCGCTCGCATACATAATAATGTGGGCAATATTATGCATGTTCTATTGTAATACTTACCTCACGCTGTAAGTACTAAACTAGACCAATATCCAATACAAACTTACTTTAATAATTTCAAACAATTTTCCATTTCATAAAAATATCTCTTTCAGTTTCACAAACAATTTTTCAATACACTGAAATTGGCACAGTATTGACCCACATAATTTTATTTCGTTCGCTCTGAAAATCGTGCCATGTAAATATTGAACAAGATATTTACGACTGGACCTTTGTTTGTTTCATTCGTCGATTCCGCGTTAACTTCGACACTTATCCTTGTATAAAGTTATATGGCGGACTTTACATTCCCAGGGTTGTGTGGAGATGAGTGACATTACGCAGCGCAATTGGGTTAACTCATTTCACTGCGCTGTGTGTATTGTTTCTCTTTCTTCGTCTCTCTTTTCATCTGTTTGTAAGGGCTGGTTAATTGCATGTTTAAATACAGCACAATTTAGGCTGGGTTGCACCACCTAACTTTGACTGTAACTATACCTAACGATAACCGACGTATTTTGTATGGAGTTTGACAGATATTTGACGTTTCTCAGATTTAAAATAAGATTGTGCAACCCAGCCTTAAACTCGCTATGGCACTAACTCAATAAGCCAGCGTTGGAAAGGGAGAAGAAATTGCGCCAGAGTTACTTGAGAGAGAGAGAGAGAGAGAAACTTTTGGTTTTGCAAGAAATTATGTTGAGATCCCATCTCTAGAGATCTGGCTTTGAACCTTAAGTCGCATTTGACGTTGTTCCTTTTCTGTTGTACCTACTTGATAAAGGAGTCATTCAAAACCGCGAATGCTGATATCATAATAAATGTTTATGGTTTTCATTGCTAATTGGAAGCATTTTGTCTACCTACTGAAAAGGGTCTAAGTTTTTTTAAGCACAGGTCGTAAAAAAGAACCTTCATATTTTTTATGGATACCTCATTATTTGCCTTTACAGATTTGACTAATAACTTTGAAAGGTGTATTAAATAAAACAGACTTATTTGGTAAATAAACCATCAAGTTAGTAATACCTACTAAGTAAATAGGTACTCATTTTAAACTATGGCAATGATTTTCAAATTAAAAAAAAAATACCTTCTGTTTTCAACGATTAGTTTCCAATCTAAATCATAGTCTACTTTAGAACAGTTCCAAATAATCCTCCGAACGGAACAAAACAATGATCAGAATTCCGATCAAACCGAAGTCCAACCGAAATTGCTATTTGAAGATATCAAAAACAGCTCGGTACCTATGAGTTGCCGATGACGGGGGCGAAGTTGCGAACAAACTATAGTTTCAGATGCGAACAACTTTCCACATAAATCGGGGTTCGTTAATAATTTACCCATTCGGTCCGCGAACAATGTTCACACAGAAAGCGAAGTACGAACAGACAGCGAGCAAAAGTGTGATTATAGAACAGAGTGACAGCGAGAGCAAAAGTGCAGTCAAATGACAAATTATTTTACGGTTTTGTAGATTGATTTTAGTATGTTTCACTATTTTAGTTCTTAATTTTTCGCCTTTTCAGATTGCGGATTTAGCATAATATCTTAGCCAGAACAAAAGTTCACACAACTACCACAGAAAGAGTGTAAAAAAGAACTAAAAACCCTCTAAAGAACATTTAAGAACACAATTTACTTTAAAATTTTTGGTAGCGAAAACCAAATTAATTAAATTCTGGCCATTAATCAATTTATTCTATTCAACGTGGAGCTCTCGATCGCTCCCAAATAATCTCATTGAGATTTTGAATTGAGGACTATCGAACTATTTGAAGTACGGTGAAACTATCGGGAAATAGAAAGGTATATTTACTACGAAAGCTAGGGTGATTACGTTTTGTAATTCAATTATTTATGTTCTTAAAGTTCTAATAAGTTTCCGAACCTAGCAGAGCTTATTAATTAAATCGTAAAACCTCCAGGCAGCCATTTAAAGGCGCAGTTTTTTAATTAATTATTGTTATTTAAATAATTGAACGCAGATTCATTGTAAAAAAATCCCTAAAGTACCTACTATATCTAGATCAAATTAATCCGTTTAAAAACAAAACAAAAACAAAGTCATCAATGTAAACAACCACGTTCATTTCATGTTATAATTACAAAGAGTACCGCGTACATTATTTGCTCCCCCAAAGGAAATGAATTTACAAAAAGATAACCAATTATAAACAACGTAGTGGGCCGAAACAAAGGCTGTAACGTGAACGTGAAGAAATTATGGATGGGCCTGCCCTAGATAGAAAGGGACGAATCCCTTTAAAGTTTCAACACAAAAGCTTATAAAATGATGGAACTGGGCTGAGACTCACAGCTTCGCACGTTAACCAACATGTTTGTTAAAAAATATGACTATAAAGTCAAATATTTCTTTAGAATTGATAATAAAAAAGATAACCAATTATAAAAAACGTAGAGTGCCGAAACAAAGTTTCTTTTTTTGTTTTTGTAACGTGATCGTGAAGAAATTATGAATGGGCCTGCCCTAGATAGAAAGGGACGAATCCCTTTAAAATTTCAACACAATACCTTATAAAATGATGGAACTGGGCTGGTACTCACGGGCCTGAGCGTTAACCAACAATTTTGTCAAACGCCCGTATGCACAAACATTACTATGAGGTCTCACAAGGCGCGTGGACGCACAGAGTCACACACGTACCAATCACAGAGCTCTATTCAACGATGTGCCACGCTGTGCGCTCGACTTGCTGCTTTACATACCTAAGCAAACATCGTTTGTGAATACGGGTGTAAATCTATGACGTTGTTAGTATTATTATTCTGTGGTTATACTAAAATATTTCAACAGAATGAAGAATGCGATAGAAGTAATAATTGCTTTGCCAATCAAAACTGGCATATTATTCACAAACTTGATTTTATGATTTATCATTATGCATCATGGCCCATGATGCGCCATGTTTATGACCCATGATTCATGGGTCATAAACATGGCGCTTCTTTTTCTCAAAAGGTTGGATTTGAAAAGGATGATGATTATACTCATACTGTTCCTGAGTTATAACAAAATGATTTTAATACTAACTAATGAGGCAAAACCTCATTGTAATGCAGAAATTAATTTGTCAATTTTAAAAGGTGTAAAGGTACTGTCGTTTCCTTCTCTTAAACTTTCAGATGATATACGAAATAAAACACAATAAAGCTATAAATATTATCCTAGTTTATTTTCATCTCGACAAGACAATTTCAAGAATGTACTGAACTCGGGAACTCATTACTGGAAGAGTTCGAAACTTTCTCAAAAGCCCGAGATAAAGTACGTGTGTGCTTGAACCACTCTAGTTTCATATTATCTTATCATTTTATATAATATACTGCATAAAATATGTGTTACTTTTCCCAATTCCTTTAAGTAGACTTGGATTCGCACTTAAGTTTTATTTATTTATTTCGCACTTAAATGTCTCTAAGATGATGGATTTTGAAGATTATGTAACGAATATGGTTGAGCGAAGCGATGGCTGATTCATACATCGCAGTCGGGTTTCCTAACCTATAGTACACTAACCTAACCAGCCACTTTTCTTTTCTACAATCAAATTAAAATTTATAGAAAACATCTAATATGGACTCCCGTGGCTGGGGTCCCTTGACCGATCCCATGTCAACGGGAATAAAATTAATAAAAGTGTTAAAGTTTTTGCAAATAGGCTTTTAATAAGTCCTTTTACACGCCTATGTTTTTGAAAATAGGCTTTTATAAGTTACACGACCCCAAAACCCTACAACTGCGTCATACCATAAGTAACTCATAAGTCTATCATTTTTGAGCAGAGGTAAAAACTTTTGTCACATTTCATTTCATCTAAGATCAAACCTAGTTTTAGCAAAATGAAAAAAAGGCTAAACCATCTCCAACTCCACGATTGTTCGATCCAATCTATATCTAGAGCAAATAGATCTATTCCGTACATTTTTCAGTTCATGCGACTGAGATAAGTTTCTGGAACTCCCCAATCAAAAAGTCCCACTAGGAGTCGTGGGGTGTCCTCAATCTCTGGTACATTGGGACGGATTCGGAGTGACACACGAGCAGCGAAGTTTTCGCCTCAATATTGTGAACTCAAGCCTCGAACAAAGACAATAACTCAGCTGTACGCGACAAATCTTCGGGGGCATGCAGTAGGTCATGAGTGGGGTGACTGTAAAAATATGCTAGTGTGGATAAAATGGGAACAACTCCATCCCCATAAATATTTAGACTTTTTGGATAGAGATTTAGCATTGTCTAATGGTTAGAGGGTTGGACTCTATCTAGGTTCTTGGTTCAAAATGACAGTTTGTTTATTTTATATTATTTAGATCCTTGTTTAGATAGGAAAGCCTTGAAATATTCTGACAGTTCAAAGATGAAAATATATGATATGAAATGATTATAAGATAGAAATAGATATCGTATAATGTCAACCGTATGTACAACAAAGTTCACGTAAGTACAGGTTTGTTAGGACGATTCCCGCAGAAGTACATCTGCTTGTTCTGGCTATTGGACAACTTGTAAATTATCTACCTACATAAAATTTGTTAATTTCTCATGTAAGTGACTGTAATGTTTTTAATGAGAAATAAATGTTCTTTAAACCTAAGATGAAAGTTCTTTTACTTTAATGATTTTTTAAATGTCCGTAATAAAAGATAAGATACAAGGGTATGATAGTAAAATTCGTAATTAGTGGTCAGTTTTATACATAAGTAGATATACCAGGATCTTCTACTTCTAATGATTTTTAAATATCCATAATAAAAAATGAGGTAAAATTGTAAAAGTAATAATTTAGTGGTCAGCTTCATACATAGTTCATAGAGATATTATATTATTCTAAGATAAGATTGGTTAAGAAAGATGAGATAACAATTTATTTCCGATTGTTGGGAACCGATAGGTGCACCAACCTTTTTTGATATATTGTCTATGCTTTTATACTTTTTTTATTCTTTTTGATAGCCGTCTGGGTTTTTAAGCAAAATACCTTTATTGCACCAAAGGATTTGTCGTTATTTTTGCCCGCTCGAGCGGCTGTCCACCATACCGATGATATTCAGTAAAATTACAATGTCAAATGTAGATTTAAAAAGCAAAGAAATTACTAAAAAGTTGTTTAACCACCAGCAACATGTGAATACGGGGTCATCAATGGGCTGGCGCAGGCCAATCCTGGCCGCCCGCCAGATTGGAGCATTAGCTTAATATTTGATGGCCTCTAGTATGTACTGTAGTCTATCGTGGCTTTGGGAAGTTTGTTGGCCTATTAGTATTATCTTCACACATGAGTTTATCCAAAAGTGAATCAGAAATTCTGACTTTAACTATGAATTTCCAGTATAGAGCTTTCGCCGTTAGCAACTTCCATTTGTATAGGTATTATCGGTATTTAAACCATTAATTTCCATTATCTCACCTATGTTATTTTCGTGTACAGATCCGTTCCGTTTCAGCCAATGGCTGCATTTTTTCGTTTATCAGTCTATCAGGTGCTTGTAAGGTAGAGCTAGTGTGTGCGACTCAACCGAGCACGCTCCTGGCATTTTAAGAGTGTGCTATCTTAAGTTTAAATTTATTTACTCTTGATCTACTTTAAAGCCGCTAGATTGTAGAATTAGCTTATTAGCCGCCTCATAAATAATCTAAGGTAGATCTGGAAAGTAGACCTATTGTTGACCGATTGTCTCCAAGTAATGTGCAAAACCAGAGTTAATCTTGTATTAGTCTAGGTCACACGCAAAACTCATCGATAAAACTATATCGAGATTAGGTAATTCGATTTGATTCGATTATGAGACTGTTGTATAGTCCACTGCATTTAAAATATTACAAAGAGCATTCAAGACCTTTGTAATAAACATTTACGATATCTCAAGCAACTTCCTAAAAGTCAAACTCCATACAAAAAGCACCGGTTATTGTTGTTACGGGTAAAAAAGGTGGTAAAACTCAGCCTTAAACTGAAATTCAAATTGTTAAAAAATAGGCCTGCAGATCTTGTGGTCTGTGTGTCACAGCTTCATAACTCTTTAAGTCCGATCGTGATGAAATTTCACGGGAGGTAACGGCGTTACACCACAAAAACGTAATGAAAAGCTTTTTTGTCTCCTCACTCAATGATATAAAACACAAACACTCTGTACCTGTAGACAATGTAGCATTTAAGTTTGCGATCGCTTCGCCAATAGTCCAGTCATTATAGTAAGTTCACCTCGGAATTTGAGATACCCAGCTGTAAGTCTGTAAATACGTGTATATTGACACCCTAAAAGTTGTCTCAAAACCTACATATGGTAGGGTGTAAGCAACTATTTAATTTCAAGGTCAACGGTCACAAAAATCGGTTTTTTGCGCTTTTTTTAGAAATATCTCATTTCCTGTGGGTTTTTTGCTATTTGTATTNTAATAAATACAAATAGCAAAAAACCCATAGGAAATGAGATATTTCCTAAAAAAGCGCAAAAAACCGATTTTTGTGACCTTTGACCTTAAAATTTAATAGTTGCTTACACCCTACCATATGTAGGTTTTGAGACAACTTTTAGGGTGTCAATATACAAGTATTTACAGACTTACAGCTGGGTATCTCTAATTCCGAGATTCTTACCTAATTTAAGCTTAAATGACTGGACTACAAGTCCATTATTTGCGAATTAAACAGTAGACGTAGCGAATTTATCGATGGTACGCTTGCTCACAAAATAAAACACAATCGAAAATATGAAGTTTTCCAATGTCTCTCAATAATTCACTGGACCTTACCTTTGAATATATGTTTGTAACTTTCACACTATCACTGCACTCATATAAATTCACCAATGTATTTCAAAACTAATAAAGTTTGAAATTAAGTTCAAATCTCATTTTGCACACAATGTTCAAATCCCAAAGCAAATTTATCCAGGCACACGTCTGTGCACCTTAATGACAAATAACCTAATCATTTGATAGTTCCAAAACCTATAATTGAGCATCCCACCAAATATTTTTGGTTTATTGACTAACCATGATTTTAATTGTTTACGATATTAACTACCGCTTCTGATAATGACATATCTACAACATTTAAAGGCGCATACATTCTGTGGTCAATTTACACTCATTAATAATTTCTCTGACGGATTTTACTTTGAACACTGTTTAGGTAAGTGGAACACCAGGACCAGGATGCAGTTTATGCGTACGTTGATACAATTAAGGCTGTTGTCTTTCTTTCTTGGCTACAGTTAAAACAAATTACATCGTCGTAGAAAGGGTAGGTATGTACCATGGTAAGTTCACATAATTTTATGTTTTGCCACGTTTTTATTAAATCATTTCAGTTTTCGCCTATGCCTTTGTTTAATCTTCATCACACCACTAGTCTTAGGTACAACATACCAATATTATAATAAACATGCATTTTCATATCTCTAACTCTATTAAATTATTATCGTAAAAATTTTCTAGTTCCAATAAATATTTTTTTAATATGAGAATCTCAACGTGACCACGACCTGTCAAGAGCAAAACGACTAATATGAAGAAGAACATGAGAATTGATATGACCCTTTAGTATCAACTAAAATACCCTTAACACGCTAGTGTAGTCGAAGCCTATTATAGTTCAAATACATTGAGTTAGTAACAACTATATGCACTAAACCCGGCCTCGCCTAATTAACTGTAATTGACAGGTATTAATTACTTGTCTACTGGGAATTTTATTGCTGTGGGGTAGATCCGCCGATTTGATTCCGCGAGATTTATTTTACGTTTTTTGAAAAACTTTACAGGAATGCGTGCAAACTATATTAAACTGAAAGGTTAAGCAATGAGCTTTTTAGATCAGTGTGAGGCCCTTAGATTCAATCGTTATTTTAGAAGTAACAAGCGTCCAAATATTTTTTCACAAAATGGTAATGACGTTTTCCCAATGGTAATGATTTTATTAAAATGGTAATGATCTTATGTTAATGGTGATGACGAAATATAATTTTATAGTAATACATTAAATTAAAATAACTTGAAAACTAAAATTTAGATATAATTGTTCAGCTAAACACCAATTTTATCTATGTTATTTTCCTGGCTAAGCACGTACCTATTAAAGAATGGGTTGGAAATAAAAGTAAATGTATTCAATAATTTAATGAATTTATTGAATTTGGAACAATACGGACATTAGTTAAAAATTTTTTACGTTCCTAATATTATTCAGAATCAGAAAAAATATATATTTACACCAATGAGGATTTTGATTGAAAAATATGCCAAGCTACTCTTACTTAGACTTACACAATAGTCAACATACAAGAAATGAATAAAAAAACGTCTTTTCGTAAACTAATAAAAAACCTTCTCATTTAAAAACAAAGCTTAAAGAACAATGGGACAAAACGTCCCCAGAACTGTAGCACTTTAATACCTACCTTATATGATAGACCATGCTAATACCCGACCGATCTCNACAAACTGCGAGTGTCTCTCGTTTTCGGAGTTTAAAAAGTCTCGGAGCTGCGTAAATTTTACGTGCATTCTGTTCTGTTACGAGCAACGAATTGAAGAGTGGGACGCGCGGACACAAGCGGGGATAAGTCGCGTCGCAGCCGCATTAAAGAACCTTTGATGCTGCCGCGATGGCTATGACGATTTCTCGTGACAATATTTCAATTCATGATTCCATTTTATTGGCTAATACGATTTCAATATAATTTTGTTATTTTGTCACGGTAAATATGTACATTTTAAATTTATAATCAAAATCTGGTCTGTGTATAGGTAAAGTAAAAAAAATTAAAAGACAACGGCAAAGGTCAGTACTTTTACTGTGATGGTAATGACGTTTAGTGCGTGTTTTCTTGATTATCGAAATAACTTGAAGTATTTAATCAATATGGATCATGGCACCTTATGTGGAAACTTGTACGAATCGTTATTCAGAAGTTTAATTTACCAGAACTACAACAGTTTTTTTTTAATCGATCGGAACATAAGTTTTTTACTGTTTCGCGGATTTACCCTGTGATCTATTGGGAAACAATTACCAATAATCGAGTTGTTTGCTGGACGTTGACAATTAAATGTTTGCTAATATTAATATCGAAATATTCAGAGTTCGAGTTAAGTGAATTAGATAATTGCTAAACAAAATATCGTGTGTGATAAAATAGATTGCGATTAAAATAATTAGTTTCAATGGCGGCTTCAGTTCATCTTGTTTATTTATAACATTTATGTATTACAAAAACACCGACCCGACGCGACATTTTTAAAGGATACACATTAACTAAAAATGGTCAACATCATTTAAAGATTTCAATTAAGAAGAATACGATTCCAACATTCTTTTATTTCTAATCGCCACCACCCTCCAAACGTACAGTCAACGTCAAATAATTCGTGAAGTGGCCAAAAAGTTTTCACAAGATTAATGCCCGTTTTCACCATCAATCTCTAAATTGTAAGTGACTCCTATGGTAGCACATATAACTGGTATTATGTTTTCGTAGGGGTCTCTTAAAAATTAGGGATTGATGGTGAAAACGGGCATAAGTATTCCAATTCCAAAAAACCTTTTTGGCTACTTTGGGGTTCACGAACTATTTGACGCTGACTGTATGTAACGAAAGTAAAGAAGTAAGGCTACGCAAAAATCACAATACTTTTCGAAAACTCAATCAAATCAAATTATTCTCATGCGACTGGGCCCCAAAGCGGAATGTTGCAGGAACATTTTCTTCTCGAATTAAGCGAATCACATGCCTCCTGTTGTCTGACTCGTAATGAGAAAGTCCCGAGAACAAACTGTGAATTACTTCAGCAAATTCCGTGTGTAAATATACGATAAATACTAGAAGTAGAGTAGAAGGAGTTTGTTTTATCCATAAGCAACTGGCGAGCATTAGTGCTGTCTCAATATTATATTTATCCTTATTGTTATCGGGTCACTGTTCCTGATCATTTAGTTTAACTTGAATCTAGAACATCATTTCTTAATGTAGGCATTAGGCATTTTACGAGACATTTGAGTCAGCAAATTGGTTCGTATACTAAGGCTGGGTTGCACCATCTTACTTTAACTTTATCAAACGTTAAAAATCCGTCAAACTCCATAAAAAAAGCATCGGTTATCGTTATAGTTACTGTTAAAATTTAGTGGTGCAACTCAGCATAACATTTTTTTTAAATTTCCCGAACATTATAATCCGGGCCTCTTCAAGGCGAGAGTGAGTAGGCACTTACAGAGCAGGTATGCACCATCATAGACTGCACCTAAACTACCATACCATCCGGTCAATATGGGAATCATTGGGGTCTTAAGGCGAATGACGGAGCACCGGGGTATTTTTAGTGGGTATGCCTTTGTCCTTCTGACTTGGTGAGCCCCACATAACCTACCCTGTCCCCGCAGGATAGGTATGCATCCCCGCAGGATAGGTATGCATCCCCGCAGGATATTATTATTATTATGTTTGTACGCTTTGGAGCTCACGGGTCAAAAGTGGCCCGGTCCTTTATAAGGCTTGCGTGGGGATACAGATCCAACACGTAGAGGCCGTTTTAAGCGCAACATAATCGACAAAAGTGAAAGTGGTGCACATGCTGGATCTAGTCTCTGACTATATCATGGGATGTAGCCAGAGACCATCCCCAGCCTGTGCACAGGAGCTATTGCAGTTATTGGAGAATGGACTAGGGTTATGGATGAAGGATGGATGGACTGGTTACTGGGCTATGGATGGAGACTACGGGACACCTGCCTGGTTCATAGTCTCGGACTGAAAAAATGGCAGGCGGTGACTAGCCAGCGACTAAATGGGCCCCCCCTGGCGTCATGGGTCGTATAGACCGGACTGAGGGGCAACATTGGCGTCTGCCAGCTCAGGGGTGTAGAGAGGTGTGCTGCGCTTTCTCCGAGGTTACTCGCGGCGTTATGCCCTTTAACACTTCCACCCCTGGAGCATATAGCTCTAGCGAGTCCACTCTGGCCGGCCGGTTAAGGCAAGACAGAGGTGAAAGTCCTGCAGACCCTCTCGGATTCCACTTCGGCAAGCCGAAGACGAGGGTCTTGACCGACTCTCGGGAGCACTCGGATTAACAACTGGCCCCGTGGTGTCGCTACTCACCAACAGCTCGCCACAAAGCTGCCCTGCGGGGCTTATTATTATCATTATTAGGTTCAGCAATGGACGTCCTATGGGTGAAATGACGATGATGATGATAATGAGACTATTTCTTATTTAGCATCAGGTAAGACTGTAATCAAATACCTGCTTTGTCAAAACAAAACTGTCTTTCGCAAATTACCATTACATTTAATATTCATTTTAAAACACCCCAACCGTACTTCGGTCCCAACTAGCTACTGTAGCTAATACAGCAATTTGACAAAACAATGTTCGACCATTCCGCCTTTTACAGCGTCTGTATGATATGGACATAAAACTTTTATTATGATAGCGCTATTGCTAGCTTACTGCCGGTTGTGATATAAAAGCTAATAGATTAGACATGTCTGTCTGGGCCAAATGATGGGGCAACTAGGCACTTTAATTTTACACGCTATAAAGCACATTAATGATACAATATTTTTTTGTAATATGTTTGAGCGTTAGACGAAGTCCATCCCTCATTATTCCTTTAAATCTTGTGAAAGAGTGATGTGAAAAACAATAGTTTATCGATCCTGAAAATATCGATGATTGAAGCGATAAATGTGTCGATCGACTTAGGCTAAGTTACACCATCTTCTTTTGACTTTAACAAATGTCAAAACTCTGTCAAACTCCATACAAAAAGCCCGTTTATTGTTATCATTACGGTAAAAATAAGGTGGTGCAACTCAGCACATATTATATTTGAAAATTCCTCTTTTTAGATTAAAAGTTACTTGAAACTTCAAATCTTAGAACTACCCAGTTACTCGTATATTTAACCAAATGAAATGTATCAAAAACATTCAATAAC